CGGCGGGGCCCCCCGTCAGAGGGGGGGGGAGCGGGAGCGGGGCTCTTCCCGCTTGTCTCCCCCCCCGCCGGAGGGACGGACGCGGTTTTCCCGGGCCTCCCTCTCCCTCTCCTCCGGTGTTTCTCGCCGTTGCCTTTCCCTGGCCCCTTCCCCAGCCGTTTGGCAGTGTAAGCATCGTCTTCGTTACATCAAGCGCAACCCCCAAAAAGACAGGAGATCTCTCTGGAGTTCCCCCTACACACACCCCAAATTCCTAAAATTTTAACTGCCAGAAGGTGTCCCAGGGCCACAGAAAGCACCTCACTCTCCTCCTTGTTTTGGAGCTGTCGCGGTTTGAGAAACCCACAACAATTTATTGTCGTTTAGGCAATTACTCTATCACCCGATGACCCCTCCCGACCTGGGAAAGGGAATCAGGGTTAAAAAACAAGGAAACCCAGGGGTTGAAATATAAACAGATTTAATAGAATAAGACTAGATAATTAACATTAATAACTGTAAAGAACCAATATTGATCCTGATGCCAATATAAAATCTACAAGGATTATACTCAGCCAATTCTATCAATAAAAAGCTGTGCACTTCCAGCAGCGGACAGCAAATGTTGGACACTGAGAGCTACAGCTTCGGGAGGAAGGGAAGGGCTCAGGGGCCTGGCACCGGGGCAAGAAGTTCCCAGGATGGCAGCCATCAAGGGAGACAGAGCACTCCTCATCAAACATTTTCATTTATATTGAATGTGACATTTATGGTATGAAATAATCCCGTTGGCCAGCTTGGGTCAAGTGCCCGGGTCTCACTCCTCCTCATCCCCACACCTGGTGCGCTCAAAAACACTGAGGCCTTGAAACCCATACACCATAGCTGGCGATAAAGTAAATATTTTCACAAATTCAGACACTGGAGTCTTCTAAAAGTATACTTTTCTCAAGCATCAGAAGAAGAAATTAGTCCTGTGGGGCTCAAACCAGCACAGGAGTTTAAACATGGGGTTGCCTGACTGTGCGCCAGTGATGGGGCAACACCCGTGCGGCCTCCACCATGGGCTGGCGAGCAAGGCAGGGCCCCGGGCTCCCACTGGGGCAAGGCCACGAGCAACATGCAACACCAGCCAAAAAACTTCCCCTGGGCTCAGAAGTTAAAAGGTCCAGGTGTCACACAGAGGTCCTGTGTCAGACATGGAGCCTGAAGGCCTGAAACGTCCTTCCACCCTGGAGGTCTGAAATGTCATTTCACGGCTTTCTAGAGCAAGCCACCTTCAGCACCTTGCAGCAGCAATTACTGTGGCCCCCACGCTAACCGCTGCAATTACCATTCTTTTAAGGCTGGTGAATATACAACACAATTGCCAAACAAGTCCCTGCTACAGCAGAACCATATCTTTCCTCCTCCTGCACGTGCTTTTTTGCTCAGTCCACAGCAGTGGTCAGACAGTGACTCATCCGATAGGGATATAGTAATTTAATTACCACTTTTTGATAATGTTGATTAAATATGGCAGAGGATAACCTCTTCATTACCTGCAACCTCTCCAAACGGATCCATTCCACTCTTTTCTCTCTAGCCCCTTGTTATTTTTGTCCCCTGGAAGTTCTTTCTTGACTGTACGTATTCTTTGCCTCCCAAGTGCTCTTCGTTGCTGTCTTCAGGCTTTTCTTTGATCCTGCTCATTCTTCATTTCTCTCTGTATGTTTCTGCTCCCAAGCTTTCACATATTTGACTTTTCATCTTTCCACTCAACTCTTCGTTTATTTTCCTAGCCTTGACACCCTTTTCCTCTGACATAACAAATGCGGGGCTCTTTCCAAAATGTTTACTACTTCTGTTCTTTATTCATATCCTTTTCCTAATTATTTTTATGAATCCTATCCTGTGAAGCCTTATGCGGCAAATACATTTGATAAATATGTAGTCGGTGTATTGTTAGCACAGGAAGGTAATTTTGGTCCAGACTCAGCTACCAAGGTAACAGACATGTGAGAACAGGACGGCCTTTGCTGTCTTCATGGTAGGAGGAGTGTTATTACCGCAGTAAGGTTAGAAAGGTACAAGCTGGTACAGTCGGATAAAGCAAACAAATCTGTGGGACTGGCAGAGGGCCTGTGTGTCCACCAGTACTTTTGGCTCTACATTTTTTTGCTTGCTGAGGAAAAATTGTCCTTCTACCCCCAGCTGTTTTGGGGACATAATTGCAAAGGGCACGTGTTACATTGATCTCAATAAAAATGAGCGAGGAAGAAATAGTATGTTTCATTTGACCAGCTTAAATAGTTATATAAAACAGCCAATCTCCTGAGCACGCAGGCCCTTCTTCCAATATGAATTACCTGTAGCAGTTTAATATTTCAAGAAATATTTATCTGTGGTTATTATATACTAAATCTAAATGAAAGCATGACAGGAACACCATTTGAATGTTTGAAGACTCCATACTATTTTCCCACCTGCTTTCCAAGAGAAAAACTTCCACAATCTGCTCCTTTTCATATTTGATTTTAATCATGCAGCCTTGTCATAAATTTAGTAACCAAAGGAGTCTATTGTTGCTGGCTGAGTGATTGAAATGTACAGGCTCCAGATAGTTAAGTTCTGCATGTAACTGGAATAGAAAAAGAGTAATGTGATATGTTCTCCTGATTTTTAACTCCTGAAGCCTATTTTCAAATTTTGCCAAAATCAATAGAGTCATGGAACACTTAGGAACTCGAAGGGTTGAGATTATTAAGGTTCAAATGATTGCTGTGGGATGGGTCAACCATTAAGATTAACTGGGCCTGCTCCAGCCTGCAGCAAATCAATTACCTTCAGGCTGTTTTCTTTTATTAAAACTCTGCAGGCAATTTATTTCAAAAGATACCACCCACAGAACCTGCTTACAAAGGCACATACTATGAAACTAAACAACTCTAATGATTTTAAAAGTTATTATGAGAATGCAAAGACAGAACATCACATTCTTAAACGTAAAGGTGCCCATATTCAGCAGCTATGAATTGCTGAAGAAAACCATCAACGCTACTTCAAAAGAGCTGCAGTAGAGCAATACTTCTCTAAAAATAAAATGACACTTTCTTCAATCTGTAGGAGACACAAGTAGTAAGAAATGAACCTTGGGTTTCTATCATCATAGGAGTTGCATATTTTTCCAGAAGTGCTATGTTTATTTCCAACATCATTTTTCATACAGAGTAGTTCATTACTAATCCTGCACATCCCAGTGAAAGCAGTGATCCCAGTAAGCCGGCACATACCTTGCTGTTTATAACAAAAAAAAAAAAAAAAAGGGAGGAGGGGGGGGAATGGGGAAGGAAATGTGATGACTCTGAATGTAAATTTGATTTCTCTCAACTCTTGAGGGTGCTGAAGGATATATACTAGGCCACTAGACATCATCTTAATCAGCTTATCCTGACTTCTTTTGTCCAGGGACAGCAAAACCCTTAAGATGTTGCTCCACAGTTTTCTGCTGTCCTGGGACAAAGCCCATCATGGACCACAACATTTGTGTTTCTGCTAAGTCTTCCCTATCTCTCTGACCACACATTTTCCACGGTCACTGGACTGTCTCTTCAGATTTCCAAATTACTCTGCCTGATACCAGCAACCTCAGGATGCTGAGTTGGATGGTTGTTGTGACACACTGTCAATGGAGATAACCCACAGTCCCCAGGTATCATGCTCTGTAAGTAAAACACATTGCCTTGGCAGTTCCTATATATTCTCTAGTAGTATTTATTCCTCAGGACACTGGGCATGCACACCTTGTCACCAAATAGTCCAGATCTCGCTTTCTTTGCCTTCACTCCTTCTCATCTTCTATATTGTTTCTTGCGACAAGTTCTCTCATTCTTCCTCACCTCAGGCGAGACTTTCACTTAGTTTATTACCAATACCAACTCCTTCTCTCTCCCAAGGTGATCTGAATAAGAGTGCCCATAGAGAATTCCCTTTTTATAGCTATAATGATGTTTCTCGTACTGCTCTGCTTTGTTCCAGTGGCACTGCCTCAGAGCATATTCTGCAGATTTTGTGGCAAGGCTGCCATTGCCACCTACCACAGGGCTTTGCTTCTGTGAAGTTTGTGTCGATCCCCCACGCTTTCACACATTCAGTAGCAGACTTAATAATAGCAGGACTGCATTGTAGCAAGTTAGGGAACTTCAGGCTCCCTTTCCTTGATTTATTTAATCCAAGGCTAGCAGGCAATGAAGGCGTAATCTGGAAAGTATGTCTCTTCAGCAAGCAATTGTGTGGCTGCTGCCCGGTTAGATGTACTCAGCCTAGCATTAAACTAGCCGTTTTGAGTGCTGACAGCAACACAGCTGCAGCAATGGGGAGCTCAGAGCCTCAGGTAACTAGCCAGGCAGTTAGAGCATTTTGAGCTCCATACCATATGGCCATATCTGACCGAACTCATTATTAATCCTACTTGAGCTTCAGTCACAGAACAGACAAATTCTTACCTAAGGACAGAACTTTATGAGAAAATAAATAGTTGGGACCTCTTCTTGTGACGACCAAGCTGAATAGAAGTGCAGAAGGTTAAGGAGTCTCTTAAGGCAGAAGTACAGAAGCAGGATTGCCCTCAGAGTTTGTGCGTGGAGGAATCTGCCAGGAAAAAACAGCAGAATATAGTGGCAAACTAGTTATAGTGTGTACCTTGTCCTATTTAACAGTTCTGTGGGACCAATTCTCTTTCTGCAGGATACAAACGTCCTCCCTCAAGATAACTTCTTTCAACACGGATTGCCTGTGTCCTGAAGAAGGAAAAATATACTCCTGGAAAGTCATTAATACAGCAATCTGATCTCTACTTGCACATCTCTGTTCACATCTATCTTCCTTTACTTTTAAAATTGCGGTTGCATTTTAACTATATATGTATGTCACTATATATAACTGGAGCAATTGCAGTTGCATTTTAACTATATATATATAAAACTGTATAGAACTGGAACATCTATGTCTGTATGGCTAACTTCTCATACAAGCAAAAGCTTGTTTCTACTAGAAACAAATAAGAACAATTTACCCAGCTTGCCTACCCTGGCAACAAAAAACCCCACATTTTTAGAATGAGAGGTCCTGAAGACCCTTCTTTCTTTGACACAGAAATTACCTCCTTCATTTCTATAAAGATGATTGTAAGTTTAAAACTGCCTGCTGCCAGAATAACACTGAAGAACATTAGTGACTCAGAAAACCCAATTATTCTCTACCAGACTGTTTCTGATTTCTTGGCTTTCAGTTTCCAGTACCATTTTCACGCTCCCCTTACATGCTCCCCTGCAGCCCTAAAAAAAAAAAAAAAAAAAAAAAAAAAAAAAAAGACCGGAAAATCCAATGAAATCAAAAAAAAAAAAAAGTCAAGCTACTACAGTGGTAACCTCATAGGTGTAAGACATCTTCAGTTACACTCTTCCTTCCTTGCGGCAGACAGAATGATCACAGCTGCACATCCATCCACTTGCCCTGTTGAGCAGCTGATTTGGGAGATTTGCCAATGCCCCTTCTTATAGCATGGAGTGCGATCATCTCCTCCCAACTGGGGCCTGGAATGTTGCTGTAATTCTTCACCATTCTGAGGACTTTTAACTCCTCTGCATGACATAATCTCCTTACAGCTTTCAAAATGAAGATCTCTTTGCTGTACGCTCCACGTTCTCACGGCGTGGCATTTGGCCCCAGCAAGTAGTCATGCTAATTTGGCATAGATGCCATGATTCACAGCCACAGCAACTGCATCTCATTATGCTTCTATTTGGAGGAGTAAATTATAGAGCAAGTTGTCTAAGGACCACAGAACTCACTATTACAAGCAGAAGTGATGGATCCAGCTTACCCTAACCTGATTTACCAGCCATCATGCTTTTGCTTTATTTTTTGAAGAGTTGGTGTTTATCTGGTGTGTCTTTTAAATAGCTGCTGCCAAAAGATGCATCAGAGAAGACAGAGGAAACAGCTTGCAGTGACAAGCAGGAGCTAAGTGAAAACAACAGAACAGGTTCATATGAACATGGGCTGAGCTATTGCTATATTTCATGGCAGATGCCCGCTATGCAAGATTGAGAATATGTACACCATTTACGGTGGAAATGCAGGAAGGCAGCAATGGACTTAGAACTGAAGCCTGAGAAAAGCAATGATCTGGAAGTGTTCACACAATAACTTTTCAGTTAACAACTGGCGGAGCAGCCAGATGTGAGGAACAGTAGGGCTCTTGAAATATGTTGCCATATCAAAGTCAGTAAACCTACACTGCTGGAGATTTACGGGCAAATCTACTTTGGCAAGAGGGTGAGAGAAGCTTGTGGACCACTGTGGAACACTTGCAGACAGCTGTATCAGAAACAGCAGCAGGGTCTAAGTTTGCCTGCTCAGATGTTAGCAAGTTTATTTCTGTTTCACCCTTTGCTTACTCTGATACTCATTTCAGTGTATCTTTTACTGCCCTGGTTAATGAAGGCAGAGAAAAGGCAAATTAATTACCCACAGACGGTGATAGAAAGTGCCTTTGGCAAACTAAGGAAAATGGCAGACCGAAC